CAATTCCCCAAGAAGTGAGTTCTCTTGCTGAGTCGCGTTGCGAATGTGCTGGCAGGACGTTGCATGGGAAGAGCTGATACGACAAATTAGCTCCAGGTTCACCTTTCTTGTTTGCAGTCCTGGCTCTCATTCTTGCATTATCGTTTCTTTTGAGTGCAACTTCGGTCGCTGTCCCGGTATTTCACTCACGGTCCTTCTTGCCTGTCACCCTGCCCCGCTACGTTGAGGTCTGTTCGTAGCTCAAGAACTGTTTGGTACAGGCACGTCCTCACGATCCAAGAGATGATCCTCAGGCAGTCTGAGAAGCTTCCAGCACCCGAGAGCTCGGATCGGACCCCGCGCCTAGTAATTCTCACGGGTCGAGGAAAGTGGAAAGTTCGTTCCCGAAAGAATGCTTGTTTTTATGGGTCTCAACTTACTGCCAAAACTGCTGAATTTCAACGTCCTTGCTTCTGACTTCAGGCTTGAAGGAGGGATGTGTGTGACCCATTTCCGTTCTTGATTAGACGACCCAGATTCATCGAAATTCGCCATCGATAAGCCAGAGCTTGCTAGTACAATTCGCTGCAAACTGTGCAAGCCATGGTGAAAGTAAGACCTGTGTGAGTGATGGTCTGACCATAATTCTGCTGGCCATATCAGGCGCACACGTGAAACAAGCCACACGAGGCGGTTGAGCCACACACCTCCTTCGAGTCCTAAGCATCAAGAGCATCAGAAACGTTTCAATACACTCATATTTGTTGAGCAGCCTTTATGTAGCTTCACGAGCATGAGAGCGGAGACCTTGAGCCAGGTAGGGTTCAGGATTTAGGGCGATTCGTCTGGATCAAGGAGCCGATCTTTTGCAGCATCGTGTGGGAATGCAAGTGTTAGTAGTATAAGTATAGGTGTTAGTATTAGTATTGGAAGTAGTATTAGTATTAGTAACAACATATTAGCACTTGTACTAGTACTAGTATACCAGTCTGAGTCTTAGTCTATGAGTTGCAGCATCGGGATATCAAAACGAGATGCTGCAATCTACACAACTGAGTGAGATCACAAGAAAACTCACTGGCATGCCAAAGTCAGAAACTCACCAGAGGCATGAGGCCAAAGGCTGTTGCCAGCACACTTTGAGACAAGGAGGCTCAAGTATTGGCCTTAGTCACCGCATTTGTTTTCGCATTCTCATTCGTAGTGTGCCAGCGTTTCGGGTATTTCTACTATCACCGTTATGCATGTCGCTGAATACCCGCATCGTGTGTTGTTCATGCAAAGCTAACTGGAATTCGTGAAATTAGATTGAATGTATCCTGTGAAGTCTGGCGCGGCCCCCCTCGCAGGACATTCCTGTTTCTTCGAACCCACTGCCGGAGTGCGTGTAGTATCCGGGGTCACTGAACCAGACCCCTCGCAATGCATTTCTCCGTGCTCGTGGCTTCCGCAGCACTTCTTGTATTCTAGGACACGGGGATCGTGAAAAGCACTTGCAGCCGGCTCTGAAGTAACTAGATGTAACTAGTTTAATAGAAGTATGTAGTTCTTGTTGTTGGTTGATAATTTAGCGTAGGCAGACACAACACTAATCACCAGAATACAAAACACCAGCTCCGCCAATACTAACAGCAGCGAAAACGTAAGACTTTATTCGGATCCTCTGGTCGCAGAATGCTACACTATGTATGCGGCATGAAGTATGAAATTGCCTATTCCCTGAGAGGTCCTACACCTTATACTCGCCCTAGGTACGGATTAGCTTCTGTATCAAAACAGAACAGTAGCACTCGTCAGCAGTAGAATGGATGCCATGTTCTTGTTTGTTGTTACGGTAGCCGTTGTGGTTTCAGCTGATGTCATTATTGCCATTATTGCTGCTTTTGTTACTGCTACTGCTGTTGCTGTTGCTGTTGCTGTTGAATCTGCGAGAATCCCCAGCTTGTTTTTGAGCTACTCCCACTGCCCCAATCGTACTGTAGTTTTGCTTCTTTTCGACTCCAATGTTTCTGGATGTTGAAAAATCTGAATGTGTTTACAAACGCATTTGATTTCAACCGATCTCTGCAATTGTTCGGCTGTGCGCTTTGCGCTCCTCGTGTATCTTTTGTAGGAAATTCGTTTCTGCAACACGAGTTATGTGCTGTGTATACCATTTTGTGCACACCATCTTTTGTGAAGGACGCTTGGTTTTCGCTCCAAGGTTTTGAAGTTTTGGATAGTTTCCTCCTTGGAACTCAGCATCACGGCTTCGGAATCGAAAACGGGTCAAGCATCTGCGTGATGTAGTCATTTTCCTGCACGGGCACGATCTTCTTCGACCTGTGAGAATCCCCACCGGCACCCCAGCGCCAACGCCGTGCACAGGCAGGCGAGAAGAACGCCCAAGCAAGTGGCGCTCATTTTCGAGGACAGTGCGAGCCGTACGTCGAGCTGGATGGCGAGATGTGCACCATTCCACCTGGATGTGATTTGTGTGCACGTCTCATGCACTACCCACCTGGCGATGTCGCTTAGCGCCTGAAGGACAAAGAGTGGACCTACGAGGAGTACTGCTCTGCAGCATGCAGTTTGAGAGACGCTTGCAAGCTCCGGCCACGGAGATGGACGGACAAGCAGGGTGCATACACAGTGCCGCTGAGCACTGAGGTGCTTCTGTATCTTTTGTCCCAGAGATCCGGGCATGATGAAGTTACATGTACATGGTGAGATAGTGTTGGGAAGCTAAGGATTATTTGCTCAGCCAGGGATTGGATCCCTCAGCAGGTGCGCGTCGAAACAACGGACAGTAGACATCGGTAGATGTAGCAGGGGTATGTGTCACGAGAGTTTACGCCCTGATGTGATCCCTGTTTGCTTCTTCTGCAAGCCTTGCCATGTCTTGCTCCTGCCGAGTACTGCCATCTTATCGTTTTGCGAAGGCCGTAGAAAGCATGTCTTCACATGTTCGATTGCGAAACTCCGATGCAGGCCCCGTGGGTGTGAGAATTGATGCGTCAGACCTGGGCAGCATAAGCCACCACGAGCCAATTCAGAGTGCTAACAAGTCCACTAGCGCAAGACCGATGTACCGTGGGATCGCATTCACTTCAGCCTGGAAGTTCAACACAGCATTCTCTTGACTCTGCTTTTGTTTTCTGTCGATCGAAGCTTGCAAGCAGGATATTTGGACAAACTACGTCGTTTGCCCTGTTGTTCTGGTACAGTATCAAGATCACACGGGTTCGTCACCGGTGGAGCTGGTCGCTGCGACCGTCGGCAATCTCAGGCCACATGGCCTTGCTGTCGGGCCGCTTCGTTATCCACGTCCTAGCATCCCGGCTGCCAGCTGCAATGCGACGCATGGACACAGGTCAGATGCAGTGCGTCAAGAACGTCCATTTACGGCCAGAGGGCGCTCGAGATCGGAATTTGAGCCAAGGACGCTGGTCATGCCAGCCAGAAGTTCCGCCTGGAAAATCTTCCCACTCAGGCACAGTCCTCAGGTTGCCTCCAAGTGAGCGTCAGATGAATTTTGAGATCGTGTGCCAATGCTACAGTGCTACAGATAGCGGTGTTCGCAGAGTTGTGTACGTCTCAGTTGACTTTCACCAAGGGGGTGTGCTAAGACTTGGCTCCAGCTTTTCGGGTGAACAGGATGCCATCTTTACGCCGGGCAGCCGCGGACCGAAGCATGTTGGCATTGTTAGTGCTTGCTGGCAGACCCACTGACATGCCAGGCGATGCTGACGATTTCAGGCACATCGGGCCGGGCCAGTGTGATGGAGAGATGAGACACCGGCGTCGAGGGTGAAGCCGCGAAGCCCTCACATGTTCTGTGTTCTTCGAGGAAAGTCGCTGTCGTAGTCAGCTTCGCAAACCTAAGCGGGCTGGAGAAAGAACTCGAGCAGAAGTTGTGAGAAATAGTGAGAGATCAGCGGCCCGGTGCAGGAACGAAGACCGATCAGGTGGAGCCCAATTTTGCCCGAGGTCCTGGATTCAACTCATGTGGACAGCCATGCTCGGCCAGTTGGGGTACGACTCAGTTTCCCTCGAATGAGCTTCGCTAGAGCGACTACATGATGCCCGAAGAAATGCTTGACATTGTAGCTGCCCGTTTCCACATGCTTCTATCAATAGCCAGCATTCGCTCCATTCGCCTTTGAAGTCGCCTACTCTTTCTCCGGAATTGCTTCTGTGATTTCTTTGATGGTGGGAAGATTGCAAAGCCTTCATTCGTGTTCGCCGTCTCTGCTGCTGAGGCCATGAGAACCTTCTACGTCGATCAGATCCTCGTCTGTGATGTCTGTAGGGCCAGGAGTCCGGATTTCGGTTCTCGACATGGCCCTCTGGTATCCTCTGGTGCTAAGGATTCCGCTCGACCGGAGCAGGTCTCCTTCTTCGCTCAGTGTGAAGGGCCACTTCGCTCCAAAACCTGAAAATGTGGAAATCAGCGGTACCGGAAGGTTTTGGGCAGACATAGTCAAGATCTTCAGGCGATCTGAACGACGTCGCCTTCGTGGAGTACACGTCTGGCACCACTGGAAATCCTAAAGGTGTTGCAACTGTACAGTTTCGCACCTTGACTCGGTTCGACTGTTCGGGTGTTTGAGTGAGTTGTGTCTTGTCGTTCTGCGGGTCTGGAAGAGCTCTGAGACCATGGGCCTGACATTACACAATGCTGATAAGGAGTTAAGTTTCGTGCATCGTCACACCATGCCAAATTCCAGAGAGACCCTCAGGTATGGCGCACTGGACGGCGTGGCACGTCTACCATTTTCCTGCGCCCGGCAGCCGCTTTGCTTCGGGAGTTGTCTGAACCCTCCGGCGCAGTTCAGGGCACAAGAGACAAGGTCAGTAGGACAGAGCCAGATGACAGCACGACGAAGAAGCGGCAGTGCGAGTTTCGCTCATAGCGTCATGCAGCGTGCAACTTCCACTTCTGTTCCTTATGTGAGTTTGATATAGACTGCTAGGCTGCTGAACAGACATGAGGTCGATCCCGAATGAGAAGACCGTAGGCACAGGCAGTTCAGCCTGAGATGTTCCGAAGTGTTGCCAGCCGAGGAGATGCCTACAATCTTTTCTGGAGACCTGGCAGCCCTAAGCAGAGGAATTAGGCGGTGCTGTAAAGTGCTGCCAGCATACGACGTCGCCAACAACGGGATGTTGATGTGTCGAAGCGAATCCATGACGAAATCGTGTTTCCCACCTGCGGCCGTAAGCCGAAATCAACAGGCTATTCCTGGCAAGTGCGAGTGTCCTTTGAAGTGTGTATCGCCAAGAGATAGCATTCCTGGTGGGTGCAACATCCGTCTGAGGATCTGGTATTGGCAACTTTCCTTGGCAACTGGTGGAACCTGTGTGGTATGGCCATGTTGGCAGACACCACGGCGAGCAATAGGTTGATACTGTCTTTTGTTCGCGACTTTTGACATCGCCACACCCACGAGAGGAGCACCCATGGATCCCTCAGAAATGGAATTCTACAATACTCCGTTTGTCACAAACCAGCAACATGAGACTCTGCAAATTGCATGTTCCAAACAGCTTGTTGCACGACAGGACCGAGCGGCACCGAGTTAGCATAAGCAGCGTGCGCCGCGCTTCTTTCATGCACCATTTCATGCTTTGGTTGGACCCGGGCGCTGCCACTGTCGTCGAAGCAAAGTAAGCAAATAAAACCGCTGGCTTGAATAACATCACCACCCCCAGCAATACCTTGTCTGGGGACCAGGCGAAGGCGAGGACAGTGCGACTACTGAACATCAATACGCCAGCGATGCTCCTTGTAGCTACGCAGAAGATCTGCGGCCCACGTCGCCGTCGCACTATCAGACGTGTGCGTACAGGCTTGAGAAAGCCATGGCAATCACATACGCAGTCTTGACTGGCCGAAGTCAAGGAATGTCGACTTGGAGCCCCTGATGAAATATTTCGAGAAACATCGGCAAGCTCGCTGCAATGTGTGACGTCGCATTGCCTTACTTTTGTCGCGGTGTGACATCGAAAGATGAGCCCTGGTGAATGAAGTAATGCTCCTGACGCAAGGGTGGCACGGTGCAACTGCCTCACACCGGGCCAGATATCGACGCTGCCAGGCCGCAGTTATCTTGGGCACGATCTTTTACTCCAAGGTGAAGGGCTTTGGTTTTTAAACGCCTTTGGTGCCAGGACACATCATGAGGCTGCATAGACACCCGAGGCTAATGGCACTCGGAGTTGAGCTGCCTAGCAGCCTGAAGGCCTGTCACCTCTGCAGTGGGTATGAACGAAAAGCTGCACACTCCAAGACGCACCGCTCTTGCGGTGCGCAGTCTTCGCAGGTCATGATCTCGGCAGGCGAGGGACTGCCCATGGCAACTGCTCGCCAGTGGTGCGAAAGGTGGCCGCATGTGCCTGTGATGCATCGACACACGTGGGAGGCCTTGGGCCTAGGGATGCTGCTCATGTTCCTCTTCAGGTCGAGCTGCTGTCAAACTATGCCTGCACGGAAACAGCATCTCGGAGTGTAAACTTTGTCGGCCCCCTTCCCGAAACTCTGGGCTTTCAGGCGTCGGACATCGCGATGCTAAAGATCACGGAACGGATCTTGCGTGCCTTGGTCATCTTGTGCTGAACCTCTGCCTCTGTTAAATCGAAGCGCAAGGAATCGACATGCTCTATGCGCCGTTAACTGACGACCGCTTGTCCTGGAACAACAAGTTCCTCATCCAAGATGAGGAGCCACATCTGCCTTGACCTGACGTTCTTAAAACTTTGGTCCGGAATTCCAGGGTCACAGATGGTTGGGGCTTGCAGCCGCACGGTTGAAGGGCTTGGAAGTCACAAGGAGTCTGTATTTCCATCTCTGTGCACTTCTTGCGACTGTGACGGCTTGGCACAGGAAGATGCTGCAGGTATGCACTTGCAACGACATAGGCCAAGCCTTCTTTGACCAGGAGCTGGTCATCCAGGGCTGGAGCATTGCCTCCGGATACCTGCCTCCTGCAAAGTTGCTGGCTCAGCGGTCGGAATATTCGTGCTATATTAAAGCATGCTGCTGTCTTGGAAGGAAAGCCTTGGTGAAACCCGGAGGTCTGGTGCCTTCTCCTCGTCCTCGGATGGGATTTCGAATGTGTACCACACAGGACTGTGTTGACTGAGAGATGTACCCTACTTTGACATCCCACAAGCGCCGCTGGTCCTTCGTCTTGATAGCTGAGTCCAACAACAGCGCTGCATCCAGGAGACCGCGTGCAGATGAGAGACTCCGCTTCCTTTACAGATCCAAGGGCAACCTACGTACCCGCACAAGGAAACACACGCAGACACCGTTATCAGCTGCTGCCAAAACCCCCTCGGAGGCATTCTACAGTACTCACGCCGTCACACATCATCTTTGAGCGACGCAGTCCAACAATCCCAACAACTGCCCGTTCTGGTTGCCAGAACGGCTCGCACTTTTTGGACAGTTACCACTGAGCCTGTTGACTTATGTAGGCACCTCTGCGGCTGTGAAACTTGCCGGTACGTCTGTTGCAGTCACCCATTGTATGTTTAAGTCGAACTATCTAGATAGAGCTTTGTGGACACTTGCGTAAATATTTTCACCCGGATTGCGACTCTGAACCAATCGTCCTGCAGAATAGCATAGAAGCGTTTGCAGTTTGCAAACCGTCACCCAAGGAGACGGATATCTCTTCATTATGGGGCGTGTGGACAAGGCAGCAAAAATTCACGGAAGCCTGCAGCAATATGCAGCCGCAGCCCAGCCAAGCCGACACAGCCGAGTCCTCCTCGATTTGCTGCAGGTTGTGAAGGTGCGCGGCTTCCGGGTAGATCTGGATGGGCTGGAAGCAAGCCTGGCAAAATGCCCCCATGTCACTGCGCCTTCGATAAACGATGTTCCTCATAGTAACTCTTCGTCAGTCCATGCTCAGGGCATGCTTAATTCTTTTTCGCCGGAGTTTACATGCATCGCAGGCCTTTGGGTGATGTTTTCCAGCCCAGGGCCTGGCAAAGCAAGTGGCCTGTTGCTTCTAGCATTCTAGCATATTTGAGTTGTGTCGCTGTTGCAAAGGGGCGTTGTGTTGTCGATGATCGCCACATACAATAGGCAAGGCCTCCTCAGGAAGATCTCTGGTGGATGAGACCGGAGCGAGAATTTCACGAATACGAATTCTCAAGTTGACGTACACTGTACTCTCGATGAGGACGGGGAGGAGCGGGAGAGAATGTTTGGAACACAGCCGGGCCTTGACCCTCTATGTTATGTCACTCCAAGGATTCAGCTGTTGCAAAGCACAACGACAACTTGTACTGCCTCATCGTGACGCCGGACTTGCCTTCGGTGCAGGCGTTCGCCCAGGACGTGCCAAGTGTCGCAAGTCGTGTCTTGAGTTGTGAGCTCTGTTTGTCGTTCTGGAGTTTGGCTGCGTGGTGCTGCTGTGCGGCAGTTCTCTGCTTGAAACAGGAGAACTATGCCCATTCGTCTCTCATTGCCACATGGCGGCAAGATGCGCCATCTAGTCTACTCGGTCCTCGGAAAGCGTTCATCAAGTAGGCATATCTGTCTTGCTTCAGAAGTGCACGGAACTAGCACATGCAGATTCCCACGGGATAAGATAGTGGCCAGGTTTGGCTGCATGTCTCTTGGACTCAACTTGAGAAGATTTTGCAAGTTCATTGGGCATCGGGTCAGCCATTCCACCAAGGGCATTGGACAGCAAGCCATAGCCCTTCATGTCCCACCTGCCAGCTGGTTGTCTGATGGGTGGTGTTCCCAGGTCGGAAGGATGTGCCGCACCCCCCAACCCGCACCCCAGCACAATCCGAGCACTTGCAGCCACCGTCGCTGAATGTGGCTTTGCATAAGTGTTCATGAACCAGGCCGGTACTTGACGATGGTTTGGGATGGTCAGGGTCCGTTTGAGTGGCATACTGCCGAGGTGGATTCGATACCCCTGACAAAGTCTGGAAAGAAAGACCGTGCTGCTATCCGGAGACTGAGTTAAATTGTTAGCGAGGACAGCTTTTTCAGCTCGGCCGCTCTGTAGCACTGCCACTCATGATATTGGCGTCGTTGTTTTTCCTCTGTTGCTGCCCGTTTGCTCGAGGGAAGATTTACTTCTGAGGAAGCGGCTGGAACAGCAGACTCTGAGTGAGCAGAGCACCGAGCAGACTGAGCAGGCGTGCGAGTATCTCTGCAGCTCGTTAGAGTCGGTCTTATGACACTTGGTACGCTGGTCCGTGTTTCACTGGTGCGGAAGGCCGGCATGACGCTGGAGGAAGAACGCGTTGCTGAAGCCGTCAAAGAGGTGCGCTGGCTTGCCGATTCGACAGCTTGTACAGTCTCCGGGGTGCAGCTGCAACACTTCGTCAACTCGTCGTGTGACGACCGCGGTGGGCATCATATCGGCCCCGTGCTAATGATTTGCTCGGCCCCACTATTCAGTGCCGTCCAGCTTTTTGCCACTTCGGATAATTGCGGTCAGCTGCTTTTTGGAGGTGTTGGGTCGCTCCATTGACCGGAACACGAGCTTTACACAGGCTCATCCGCGCGAGGGTAAGTTTAGGTATCGAAAACAATTAAAGCATCGAGACTTGATGTGCAGGCTGGTGGCCACTCGCTGGCCGCCATGAGGCCGTCTCGTCAGTCAAACGTACTCGTAGCACAATCTCCGGAAGGCTGTTCTGTGTTAGTCAAAAATGCGATGCTCGAATGAATTCTAGCATTCTAGCACTCACACGGCACAAGCCGCCAGGATTGCGAAAATCCTCGAGTCCCTGAGCTGCAAGTTTGGGCTTTGTAGCCAAACTCTGACGCTGATATCGAAAGGTTTTTGAATGCCGGTTCAAGCAGTGTCAGACGAGGATTTCAGCTCAAATGCTCTTCGCCTTCCCAACGATTGCCTTGCTTGCCAAAGCGCTTGCGGAAAAGGCTGGGGCTACATGCTCAAGTCGGTGTTTCTTCAGCCGGCTATCTGCTATATAATATTGCTCCAGTGCCGAGCATCCCAAGTTGCCATCGCAAGGCCCGGGACAGGCCGGCGCTCAGGCCGCTGGCCAGTATGAAGACTTCTTCGAACAGCCACTTAGCATTGCAACTGGCGTGCGCAGAGCATTCGAGTTAATTCTGTGGACCACGACAATCATTGTGGCCGTCGCTTGTGCAGCTGGTCTTCCACGAAGTTCTAGAGACAGGCTTGATCTTGACTGTGTCCCGGCAGAGCATACTTTGTTGGTGAACATGTGGCAGTCAACGCATGGACCTCTGCAAGTGGGGGTCTGCAGAGCCAGTCGCAGTCCCTTAAGTGAAGCTGCCTTAGGCAAAGGCCCTCCGCCCAGGTGGCCCACTGGCTGTCACCAGCATGGCCTGTCGGGTACCTGGGGCCGAAAACCCTGCAGAGTTTTGGGCGAAGCTCCAGGCTCGCATTGCATCATTGCTCGCGTCGCTTGGGGGCTTCTTGGTTTGTGCAGGGCAAAGTCCAGGGTGGCGGGTGGTGACCGGAAACACCATCAAAAACCTCAGCAGCCGGGAGACGGAACAAACACAGATTCAGGGAAAACAGCATTCCTCTGTCACACAATACAAATACAACCCAAAGCGGAGGAGGGAGCGCTGATGACGACCAAGCTCCCTGCCAAGATTTGGCAGATACCACGGAAAGGCCGGAAGATGGAGGTAGCCATGTAGCGTTTGCTTGCGACACAAGATATGGGCCGACAGAATGCCGAGTTCGACTCAGTATCTCAAGTGCAGCTTTGCTTCATCGAGCTCAGCACCTTTGCGAGCTGCTTAGCCATCGAGATGTACATCTCTGTCACTGCAGATGCTGCAGACTACGCGTGGTATGACTCAAGATCACAGACTGGGCTTGCAGGTGTTGTGCCAGATCATGGCTTCGACTGTCAGTTCTGGAATACCACGCCCGCTGCCGCAGCTACTTGCCTGCAGTAGATAGCACACACCATGACCCTAGGAGGCGGGCAAGGTTTGTCTTGTTATTGGCAGCAGGAGAAGCACATCAATGCCAGCATACCTGCAGTCGGTATGTCACGCCTTTTGCAACCAGCAGTTCTAGCCTTTCAATGGTTTCTGTGGCATGGCGCCGAGCCCGTACTCGTCCTAAGGCTCTGCTGGACACGTCGCAGCGGGCAATGCTTGAGGCACAGGGCGCTTTCGGGTCTCTGCCCGCAGGGTCTATGTCACGCCTCAGTGCCTCAGGTGGCCTACGAAGCCCTACAAGCCCTGGGGACTCCCGTGATCTCTGGTGGTCGCTTGCAAGGCCCTGCCGATAGTGAACGCGAGAGGAAGCAGCCATTATTTGTGAATGATCAAGTTTTCGTTTCAGGCCTCGAGCTGAGCAGCAAGGAAGTCGGGGTGGCCGTGTGTGGAGGCGGAGAGCAGGGTGTTGAGATTGAGGTGCTTGGCTTCAAGCGACTGTGAAGATGCAAGATGTGATACGTCCAGTCTCGTGGTCAAGTCACTTTAAGTCTGCGATCTCTGAAGATCCAGGCGGCCCAGGCAGTATCGGAAGACTCGGCAACGAAACCTGATTCAATGGTGCACAGTCTGCAGGTTCACTGAACCATTGGACCGAACAGCTGGGAATCAACCTCGAGCAATCCCGGACACAGCGGCCCGACGAGTACTTCAACCTCGAGGCACATGGCTTTGTTGAAATGGTTTGGCACGAACCGAGTTTTCGAATGTATTCCAGGTGACAGACACCATCCCCCACCCGCCCAACTGCAAAGACGAGCCAGCATGCAGATTATCTTGCTGGCGCTGTCCTTGTATCATCGAATCTCACAAAGCCACAGATAGCTCCTATGCCTAGGCCTAAGCCGGCAATAGCCGTCGAGAGGTGTCCAGGACAAGTGGTGCCTGCAAGCTTAAACTTGAGAGCCGCCGGTTCCTTCTCTCTTTGCACTGTGACAAAGGCAGCCGGTGGATGCCGGTGGATCCGAGGATGAGAAAACAAAAATAAGGGGCGGGTAAAGTGCGTGCTGGAGCTGGAGCGAATCGTGGCCAGATCGCGTTATGTCGCGTTAACGCGAGGAAGATATTAGCATCGAGAACCCAGAAACGTCAGCCGAAAGCGCTGAGCCGTCCTTCATGAGACAGGTCGGCACAGACAAGGATTATCTTGCCACCAGCATCGCGTACCGCTTTGACATCGCTGGTCCCGCAGAGGTAGGGGTTGGGGAACGGTTCTGCTTTGTGCAAGACCTCCTCTCGCCTGCTGCCCTCCCTCATTGCTCAAGGTGGTGCAAACAGCTTGCAGCTCAGCTCTGGTTGCGATCCGAAGAGGGGCCCGCCACCAAGAGTGAGCAGAGTGCAGAGTGATGGTTGCATTCCGGAACTTCACAAGCCTTCATAAACTTCATGGGCCTCCGCGCTGCTGAGCGTCCTGACTGCACCTTCGATCGAGGTGCAAATGATCAGGGCTGGAGATTGCGTGCCTCGCTCGAAGTACGAATGCACTGGGATTCAGCATCGTGCTCGTGATGGCTGTGAACCGCAATACGCATTGCTGCTGAAGACACTCCTCAGGAGAGTGTTGTTTCCGGCGGAGCTTCGTTCTCGCCAGACGGCCCCATCAAATACGTGGATGGCCTCATTTGGGCCCGGGACGGAGCAACTTGTCTTCGCATTTGGATGCAATCACTGGCCGTTCTTTCACCTTGGATAGAGATTGTGACGAGTTGGGCTGTTTGATGCGTCATCACTTGCACTTCATCTGGTGAGGTGATGAGAGTGATGAGGATAGCGATGATGCTGATGCAGGTGGTGATCGTAGTCATGATGCTGACGGTGACGATTCTGATGATGACGGTGATGGTGATGGTGAGGATGGTGAGCATGATGGTGCTTACTTTGTCCGTCGTTGATCTATTGGTTGTCATTTTAGAGTCATTATCATTATCGTTGTCGTTGCTGTCGATTTCAGTGTTCGCAATATTAACTTGAACATCCTTGTCTTACGTCGAGTACGAGTACTGTGTGCAGTGGAAGCAGTAGTTGTCGTCGTGGTCGTCGTAGTGGCACGAGACAAAGAAGAAGTCGTATTGTCATTGTTCTGACCATCATCAGCACGTTCGGCTACCGCAGAAAACGTGGTATATGCAGCATTTCGCACTTCCCCTATCAAGACATATCCAAAACCTCGGGACCAGCGGGCTTGTGCCCGTTCTAAGACAATGCCCAGATCCGTCTGAGAAGGGAGCATCCATGGCCCAACCACGATGACATCCATGGCCTATTGCGTTCTGAGAAGAAAGCATCCATAGCCCAACCATGATGATGTCCATGGTCTAGTCTAATCTGTTCTGACTAGAGAGCATCCATGGCCCGACCATAATGACGCCCATAGTGTACGTCGTTCGGAGAAGAAAGCATCCATGGCCCAACCATGATGACGTCCATGGTTTGTCGCAATCTGATAAGAGAGCATCAGTTGCCCAACCATGATGACATTCTCATGCACGCGACAGCTGAGAAGGTTACAGTAAACCCGCTTCGCAATGCGCCGGCGAACCGCGCATATGGGCGTTCGGAAGGCCCGACGACTCCTCACGGAGCCGGGACTTGCTACGGTTCTCTCGTGTTTGGCTGCATGCCGCCGAGATCGAGCCGGCCAGTTGGGCCGCGCTCCACGCACCTGCAAAAGACAATGCGTGGCTCTTCGATCCGAGTCCATCTGTCACTTTCGATGAACTCCGTGTGCCACAGTACGTTCGTGATTTCAAGGCTGCCGCGTAGCTTTTTCGTTCAACGCATTCACTTTTCACATAGTCTGCGTGGCCTGCTTTGTCAGCGCGAGCGTGGCTTTGGCACGTTATTATGGTTATCAGTAGTAGTAGTAGTAGTAGTAGTAGTAGTAGTAGTTATAGTTAGTAGTTAGTAGTAGTAGTTAGTAGTAGTAGTAGTAGTAGTAGTAGTAGTAGCAGTAGTGGTAGTAGTGGTAGCAGTGGTAGTAGTGGTAGTAGTGGTAGTAGTGGTAGTGGCACGAGTAGTTAGTGGAGTGGTAGTGGTAGTGGTAGTGGTGGCAGCAGCAGCAGCGGCAGTAAGTAGCAGCAG